ATCTTGAACGATTCCACAAGTAAAATTTTTTTGATCGGTGAGTTTCCATTTATCTATATAGATAGTTTTTTACATTTATATACGTATTCATCTGACGTTATTTTTCAAAACACCAGATGTTATTGGACGAGTTGAAAGTGTACGTGAACTTGAAACAATCCCTGTCATGAACAAGGACACAAGCAAGCTTGAGTTCGACTTGTGTAATGCGAAGTGAGTATATACGGTTAACGCTTTTTATCCTTTTAAATATTTACTCTAATCTAATTGAACCGTATTATATATAGAGAGGAGTGATTACCATGCACACATTGGGGTAAATTTGGCGAACAAGTCTATTCGGCTTGTCAGAATGCTGGCGAACGTGGTGTCATCATTGTAATCCGTTTTGGAAAAATAAATGTGTTTAGAGGTAAAAATATTTAATTACAAAATTGTTGTTTCAACATAAAATAAAATGCATTTTGATTATTTGTTTAAATTATCATAGGTGAACGTCAAATTAGCAGTTCTTTCCAAACCTCTAAGGTGCTCATAGATCTTAATGATCCAGATGTCATTGATTTCAAAAATAGGTAAATAATTTATTTATATATTACACACATATTTTGACAATGTGATTATTAATAAGAATTGTTTTCCAATATGAATTTCACCTGAAAATGGCGGAAATATTACTTTCTTGAGTAGCAAGCCACATCAGAGGATTTCTTATGATGATGAAAGTAATTTTGATCAGTTTCCAATTGTGACTATTGCTGAACTGCAAGATTATCTGGAGGTATATAACAAAGTTGTCATAACTTTATTATATGCTGATAAAATGATATGTCTTTGGGAAATAATTTTTTAATATAAAACTAATAACATAAAATACTTAAAGCGTATAAAATCTTATATATGGTATCGACGAAATTAGAGGTATAACTCAAACCTTAACTTTTATGTGTTAATTTATCAATAGTGTTTATGCAATTATGGTGACTGTTCTATTGTTAAATATTCAGGTTGGAAAATGTAAAATCATGTGTACTGTATACGCAGTTGATACAGATTGGTCATGGTTTTACTTGGTTTGCACTAAGTGTGGGAAAAAGGTCTACAAAATCTCAAAATGCAAAGACGATAAATTTTGTGATAAATCTAAGAAACTTTATTCATGTGAAACATGTGATGCCAAAGTTTCATATGTCAGTGCGAATTAACTAATTTTATAAATTAACTAAATAACAATTGTTTGCCAAAAACATATATCACATATTTACATTTAATTATATTGTAGATACAAACTCCGATCTTTGTGTAATGGACAACACGAGCGAGATCAAAAAGTTTCTTTTTTGATTCAATGCAAATGATATTGTTAACCAATCTGCTAATGAAATTTTAAAAGGGATATACGATGAGATATTATACACTTTATATATTTTATTTTAATGAGTTTATATTAAAAAATTATTTCCCAAATACTTGTTATTTTTCAACATAGATACAAGATCCGGATGTCGTTCCTGATGCACTACAAACTTGGTTGGGAAGATTTTTCAGTTTCTAATTTGTGTTGAGAAAAAAAATTTCTACGCTGGTAGTAATACATACAAGGTCGGAAAGGTTTGGAAAGGCAATCAGGTTTTGACTACCACCGTTGATGAGGTGAATGAATCTGAAGATGGGAGTGATCAGAGTTTAGTCATGTCTGCTGATCAGGTAAAATTCATATCATGTGAATGTATTTTTATATTTTTGGGACAATCACTACAAAAAAGACAGTTTCTTACGTCGGTTATAATGGAATTTAACGTCGGTAATAAACCGACGCAAATTATATAGCGTCATTTACAAAACCGTCGTAACAAGGGATGACGTTAATTATCTTAGCGTCGCTTTGAAAAATGACGTGTAGTTTAACGTCTTAACTAGATTTTAACCCCGTGCGTCCGCACGGGAATGTTTTATTTTTTATTTATAATATAAGTTGCATTTATCTTTTTTGTTTAGATATAATTTATTTTTGTTATTTATTTTTTTCAAATCAAAAAATTGTTACCGTATTTTAATTTTCAACAGTAAAATTTGTATATTAGTAGAATAAAAGTATACGTTAATTAACTATACATTGATCTAATGTTAATTATAAACTTTGTTATTATGTAAATTTAGATTTACATATAAACAATCTATATATCTATGAATTTGCTAATCTATTCGTTTAGTTGTCTTAAATCATTTTTAATATCTTACATGTTTTGAAAAACTAACCTGTATAAGACTATAATTATAATTATATAACCCTATAAATATTTACTAATATTATTTAGACCAATTGATTATGAAAAAATATAATAAAATATTTATTTACTATTTGTGCTATTAAAAAAATAATATATATATATAAATAAACGGGCTAACCTGTTAGTTTAATTGTCTCAAATCATCTTAATATCTTACATGTTTTAATAAATTAACTCATGGACTTTAAATATATATATATATATATATATATATATATATAACTCTAATCAGCTCGATCATATTATTGTATAATATAAATATATATTAATCTCAAATATTTGATATTTTAAACCGATTGTTTATGATAAAATACGATAAAATATTTAGTTACTATGCATTTTTATAAAAATATTATTTAAATTTAAAATTTAAATTAAATCTTTTCTGTATTTAAGAAATTCTAAAGTATTAAAATTATTATCTAAATTTTCGTAATAAAATTTAATTATAATTTTGTTTGAATTTTTTGAATTTAAATTAAATTGAATGCAAATTTTTGTAACTAAATTTAATTAAATTTCTAATAATTTAAAATTTAAATTAAAGATGATCTAGATTTTAGGAAATCTAAAAATATATAAATTAATAACTAATTTTCGGAAATTAAATATAAAATTAAAATAAAATATTATTAAAAAAACTTTGGGAGTGTTTGGATACAAGTACTAAATGTACTTCTGTTTTAATAGAATAGATGTTTGGGTCAGTAATAAACCGACGTAATTTTGCAAATATGTTTAGGTCAGTAATAAACCGACGTATATTCCATTTACGCTAAATATTATACATACAATCCTGCAATGTAAAAGATTCAAATGATAACTCAATTAAAAATTTCAATTAATAAAAGGAACCTGTTTTTACAAACGAGATCCAAATACAAATGTCATTGAAACTATAATATGCTGTTTTGAAACTATAAATGTCAACGAACAAGTATAACTCTTCTAAACAAAAACTGAAATGCCCACAAACACCAACTCTTCTGATTGAGAAGCAAACCTGCACCGAAATCAGTCAACAAATTAATATAGCCAACAACCAGATCTTCAATTACTGAAACAAGCAGAACATATAGACAATATGGTTTCAGTTTCTTCTAAGTAAAATGACAAGATGGTTTCAGTTTCTTCTAAGTAAGCTACTAGAAAAATTCTCTGAGCAACAGCTTAGCCTTAATGACCTAAAAACATACTAAACATATTCCAACACTAATTGACAGACTTAGAGATAAGATATAGACGAACATACCATTTTCAAGTGAAATCTCAAAGTCCAGTCTTTGAAATGCCACTATCCTGATCACTATTGCTGCTAGATGATTGATGAAGGTTCATGTTAAACTTTGTGTCTTCACCTAAGAGGACAATGGCTACAAGCTTCATGTGACCATGGAGAAGCAGCTTGATGAAACTGCTTACTAGATAATATATGTTGATACCCTTAATAAGCCCACCAATAAGCCAAGTCACAGATGAAGTCTACAGAAAAAGCCACAAGACACAAATGAGTTTTCGTTCTTCCAATCGATTTTCTGATTCATGAATAACGAAATTAAAGTTAATACCAGGAGTGAATTGGCGTGTGAGCCCATTTTCGTTTTGCTGCTTGTGAAATTGAGAAGTGGAACTAAAGCAAATGGGAGCTCAAAGGATAAGATCATCTGCAAACAGATAAGATGATTAAGGTTAAGAGTGTATAATATGATACAGAGAATGGATTTGATATATTGGGTTACCGAGGCAATGATGATTAACTTTCCGGCTCCAGGTGAGCCAAATCTGAGGCATTGCAAACAGCTCCACTCACTGATATCACAGAGACATTTATGAGAAATGCCACCGTAAGTGCTAATCCGCTTTCAATCAAGTAATACTGACAAGCTTCCTGTAAATGAAAAAGAGGAACTTAGACTCATAATGTCCATGAAAATGCATCTATGCTAGGTGATTAGTTACTTTGATGCCTGTTACTGAACGAGAAATCTTTTTAGAGGGAACTAAATCTGAGTGGAGAAACAGATTGTGCCTGTGAAGAAGAAACAGATAAGAATTTTCGTGGTTAGGTTGGAAGGAGAGAGAGACAGAGAGTGTCTTACGGCATAACCATGGCACCGAGGAGAGAGATCGCTAAACCAGTTGCACCATTTCCCTTTAACTGCGGAACTGAAAGACCATAGAGGACTTCTTTTGGGTCTTGCTTTGAGTAATGAAGCTCAAAATCAATGTCTATAGAAACAAAAACATTCATTCAAAATAACATTCATTCAAAAGTTTGAATCACTCACTGCAAATAAACAGATGACTGCAAACAAAGAACCTAATAAACGATAGAACAATTCAACATTCATTCAAAATTTTTGAATTAGAGATGATTGCAAACAAAGACGCTAATAAGATTGGACGCAAAAACAAAGAACCCTAAACTTGCTTTAAAAAAGCTTACCTTAACTGTCTCTGAAATCTGAGATTCTATAAGTTTCACATTCCCTCACGAATCATTCACGAATCCTTCACGATCCTTCACAAATCCCTTCTATCCTTCAATAAATTCATAATCATTGCTCAAAACGAGTTGTTTCTTCGTACAATTAGAAACTAACATTGAGAGATAAGCTTTCGGAAAATACCGTACAAACTGAGATTAAGAGATGAGCTTTTCCGAGTTCTTCGATGCTGAAGCTGTTGAGATCGAGAACGATTTCTTCGATTTTGATTCAAATTAACAAAAATTCGATGAAATTTATGAGTAATTCTTTGATTTTGATTTTGAAACTGAGAGCAGAAAAATTTTGATTTTGGTTTTGAGGGAGAAGCAAAGAGTTTTTGGGGAAAGTTGATTTCATCGATTTGGATTTTTTAAAAGTGAAACAGGCTTAAATTTAAGATCAAATGCAAAGTGACCCAAAATTTTAAGTCATTTTTAAAAATGATTTTAATTTCCTTCCTTAAAAAAAAATTTAGAGTCAATTTAATAAATGATGCAAATTATCTGACATTATCTACCACATTTTTTGTAGTGAATACTATATCTTGAAAATATTTATTATTTATAAGTATCATTGATGAATACACATAGCCAAGAGTCTTCGGATGCTGCTGTTTCTAGCAATAACAAAATTTCTTTATCAAAGCGTGATCGTGATGATCCTAAAGATTCAGTCGACTCATCCTCATCATCTAAAAAGTCATATAATAGTGGGAATAGTGTGAAAACGACATATGCGAATGAAATGATTGATGATGATACACTGAAGAGTGATGGTGTTTTGGTGAACACTTTTCTTACAAGTGAATCTAATGAAGATGTTGTAAAGGGATGAATTCGAAGACGTGGTGGTGGTAAAATTGTTGGCAAAGAGGAAAACAAAAATAGGAAGATATAATCCCATATATTTTGAAGTTTATGAATTTGTTATTATTCAATTTTTTATTGAATAATTTTCTCTTTTCCAATATTTGGTTTAATATTTTGAACATTCAGATATTTATTTTTTGTGGTTAGTTATTTGTTTCTATAGTTGAATTATTGTTGAGGTCGGTTTCCACCCAACTGAATTAACCATCTCAAAATGACTAAGTGTCAAAAGATATCGACAAATTCTGAATTCATTTTATGAGAGAGGGAAAAAATCTAAGTACCCGACGCGCGATTGGAGATAACTCTCGGCACCGGCCACCGATTAGAACGAGCTTGGTCTTACTGGAAAGCTAACTCTCGGGGCTTCAATTTGATATGTTTTGCGTCGCGTGGTTCTTCACGGTTCGCCGGGAAATTTCCTTGGAAGTCGATGGCTGATTAGAAGGAGATGGTGACGAAAAGAGAGAAGGAAGAGAGGAGGAAGAGAGGCTAGAATTTCTAGAATTTAGGTTTTTGAAAGATTTATGAAAGATTAGAGTATTTATATTTAGATTAACTTAATTGGACTAGGCTTAATGGCCTCGCAGAAGATGAATAAAAGATTAAAAGTGGGCTTAATTAAGAGAGATGATTTAATTTAAATGAATTTGGAATTGAATTTACTTAACCGATTTTGACAGGTCGGGTTATTACAATATACATATAGACATAAAGGCTAAAGCCTGTCAAGTTCTTGAGCGAAAGGACAATTCTCCCAAGACTTGTTCCTCGTGATCTAACCGAGGCAAAAGCAAATTGGTTGGAAGAGCTTGGAGATAGCTGAGCATGTTCAAGAACCCTAAATTGAAGCTCTGAAGGGTAATCTCTCTCATAATACTGATTCTAGGACCTGCACCAGTTCTCCATCTCGAATGTAGCCGCTCAGCTAACTGGTATGATTTAATTCACTTGTGTGAATCTATCCGTTTCATTATCTTCTCCTTTGGGACGTATTCTTCAATGTCTTCATCGTTTGAGTATGTGAACTCTTCCTCTGCTATGAATGTTTCTTCTGCTGTCTCATACCCGTGTTCTGAAGGGGTTTCATGAGGTTCTTCTTCATCATCCTGATCCATTCTCAATCATGTGGTTATCAATATACGATCTTGAAAGTTTTGAATGGAGCCTTATTAATATTTGTAGCTCTCGATGATTGTTGGGTTCAGCGTTTGGACTTTCACTGGTCTCAGCGTCCACAAAGTCACATGGTTCTTCTTCGGTCTCTTTGATTCTTGAAGGCATTATCTTGACCTTAGCAAGAGCTTCTACTCGGCTCGGAAGAAAAGGCCTTTGGCACTAGACAACCATTTTGCCTAAATTACATTTTCAATTTTCACTTTCCCATTTGGAAGACTTTACTTAAACCCTTCATGAGAGATGCGGATTTTTTTGGAATTCTTGACATTATTTAAGATTTATTTTAAATGATAATTGGCATATTTTAATCGGTCATTTAAACTTTCTTTTTAGAAAAATTTAAATAACGGCCGTCTAGTTCAACCAATTTTAAATAACGGCCGTCTAGTGCAACCATGTTTTCTATATTGAAAAATTGCCGAATGTAATTCTTGATAAACCATCTGCTTTATCAACGGAGCCGTATCTTTGAAAGTCTTCCAAAATCAAAATATTATTAATTCAACAAAATCGATCAACGAGCCGTATCTTTAAGAGTCTACATGAAGAAACATGTTTTCCTTGGAGAGACGTCATAGAGATAAATACAAAGAAAGACCAAAGAAGAAGCAATTGACTTTAATGAATCTTTACGTCTCAGAAACAGATTGCATTAAAATAGTAAGAAGGAACTAAACTAGTAAGATTGCAAATGTAAAACTAAAGTTTGATGAAAGTTTTCAAATCATTACAAACCAGAAAGCTATGCTAAAAATTTGAAGATTGGCCCAAGAAACAGAGTTTATAACATACTTGTGTACACTGCGAAAACCGCTAGTAGCTTGTCTTTCCACTCCCACCACAAGTTATACAAGATCGGGTGGAAGAACATTTAGTGCAGTAGCTCCATTTCTTGGGAAGCCTAAGAAAATGTGTTTAATTTGTTGAGAATCAATGAAATAAAGAAAAGTGGTATTGATGAGATTCGAAAGGGAAGAAAAACGAAGGAGCTAATATATTACCCGGCTGTATATCTTGTGGCCATGTTCTTTGCAGTGAGTCTTGCTTTCTCAGCATTTTCATCTGATAGTTTCTTCAAGACAAATCCTTCACCTTTGCACTCAGAACAGATTCCTGAACCGCCGCAAACTTCACATTCTTTCATAGAAGCCTACAAATCGGTTCCACAGAGAGAACAAACAATGGTAGATATCAGTTTTCACTAAGAGAATACAAAACAAACAGTGTAGATTTGTGTTCATGCGTCATATACTAAAACAAGAAAAACAAAACTACCTCGGCTTCTTCGTTGGCTTTGGTATTTCTACGAACAAGAAGAGTGGCTGCAGTGCCAACAACCGTGGCTGCAATCGCTACAGAAACAGCTGTTTCAACTAAAGCCGGAATCGCTGTTGATGATGATGATGATGATGACCTCTTAGCTCTGTGATGTGAGGATTTGTTCACATCAAAGAAAGAAATCGACTTTAAGAACCTCACATCCTTAGCACCTACCACAAACACAAAAATCAACAATGGAAACTCAGTTAATATAGTATAATCAAAAGTAAAATAATCAAATATGAATCAGATTGTAACTTGTACACATGAATCCAAAGATCAAAAATCTTGAAACTTTAAAACTAATTTCGTGATCCCATTGATCAAACAAGTAGGAATCCTCAGATAAGGTTTAACCTCTGGGAGATCTCTAGATACAAAACATGATCCCTTACATATCAGCAGCTTAAGAAAACTTACTGAAAAGAGTGGATCAAACAAAATTTCAGACCCAATTGGAGATTTATCTCAAATGATCTCGTTTTCTATTCAAATCTATCAGACTCGATTCTCAAGTTTATCAGAGAGATAAGATAACAAGGGTAATCTGAGAATTAGGGTTTTGTTTTCAGCTTACATGAAGTCGAAACTGAGGAGGGGAATGAAAAAGATTGAAGCTTGAGACTGAGATCCATCGCAACAGAGAGATTTTCATTCCTTTCATATTCGTTACTTCGATTCGTGTTATCTCCCCAAAGTCCCAAACCTTATCTTGTCCCTTTGCCATATTTTTCACCTGTCTCACTCAACGGCTAAAATGCGAAGTTCAATACCAGGATTGAACCGAACTAAACCGAACTGAAAAGGATGAACCAATCAGAAAATTGGCCAATTTCGACATGAACTATGAACTTATGTTAATCTCAGACTCGAATTTGTAATCGGATGCGAAAACAAATTTGAACTTTTTTTGTGCTTAAACCTACATTCTGCTAAACATCGTTAAAAATCTGGTAAATCAAATTTACGTGTGACTGACACATAAATAGCGATATTATCTTGAAAAATTTCATGCGACAGTCAGTCTTTAACAAAACGATAACATTTAGAGCATGTACCTTGGTATACTCAATTTGGGATTGTTAGCATTTAAATATTACTAGTTGAATATCTGCGTATACACGCGGGTCTTTTTTGTAATGTATTTTTTTAAATCTTACAACAAATTGGTGACTTTAATATTGTGTAAAAATCTATTATTTATGTTATACATATTTAAAAATAGAAAGATTTTATTTAATATTAAATTGTTCTAAAAATCTATAGTTTAACACGAATGCACTGATATATTTTAAACTATATCACGTTGTGTTCACTTCTCTCAACTCCTATAAAAACTTCTTAGCTCTCTCTTAACCACTATGATATAGTTGTTATTTGTTTCACATTGTTAAACATTATCGTTGCATTATTAAAATATTACTCTAAATCTACTTTGAAAACTCTTTTTGTATTTTGGATTTGTAATTTTCTTAAAAAAACTAATTATACGATAACATTTGCCAATAAAATCACCAAAACACAATCCTAATCCAATCCTTCTAAACACTACACACACACACTCTCTCAAATAGACTCTTTAAACGATAATATTTTACTACTCATTTCTTCATCTTTTGTTCCACTTAGTTCCTACATGATTGGTGCCAAACTTTCATCAATCTTTCTTTTTTTGAACATGGTAAAATATATTTACCTCTGTTTAGTAGGTTATAAGCATTTCTATGGAATGTATTAAAATGATTAGTAGATTTTTTATTTTAACCATTAATTAGCTAAACAAACTGTCATACATATCCAGAAACATTTACATAAACTTTATATTATAAGCAAATAAATAAACTTTTGGTAAATTATAATTAAAGAACTCTTAAGCTATACAATAACACTGCTACTTATTGACCCAGCTAATATATTCTACACATAATCACAATTAGACTCATAGAATATAGACCCCCATTGGCGGTTTCCTTGCAAAGGAACATTGTATAGTGGCTGCTTAGCCTTCGCATGGATATTTTGATGTCTACTGAAATAAAGAAATCAAAAGCTTTTATAGGTCATCGCTGATTCTCTGTTGAGTTAGTAATTGATATTGTATCTAATAGTCATTCTGATTTGCTTTGATTCCTTTTTTACTTACTTCCACAAACAGATATACCTTTCTCAATTCTTCTCCTTTGCGGTGGTGATGGTCCATTCTTTCTCTGCGACGTCATCTATTCTGATTTCCCAACACTTGTTCTCCTTCCCCGTGTTTATGTGCTCTCTCTGTTTTTTTTTTCTTTGTCATTAATCTCCTCCTCTCTCTCCCTCTCCTACTCACGGCTTGTCCTCTCTTCTCTTTTCTTCCTCCTTTCACGACTCTTTCTCCTCTTTTTTTTTCTTATTTCTCCTTTTCTCTCTCTCGACCTCTTATGACTGCTCCTATTTTTTTTTTTAGTTCAGTAATCTAACTAAAATAACTTGTATATAAGGAGATATATATTAGTTAATTTAAGGAAGATGAATCACACTTTTTAGGAGAATTATCTTAATAAATGTATGTTTATCACTGAATTTAATGATTTAAGTAATAAATTGATGCTTATTTACGAAAATATTTTGAAAAATTATTAAATAATAAAAATCTAATAATTGTTTAGAAGATGATGTGTCAAAATGATGAGTGCTTAGTCAAATTTTTGAGACTCAACTCACTCTTTATATAATAGATTAATTTTTGGAAGTATGAACACTTGTTTTGACATCCATTGGTGATACTGCTTTTGGGGTTGTTAATTAGCCAAAAACATCCAAAATGTTTTCTCCAACATCTAATCTTCTGCTGCCACGTTTTGTAAGAAACTGGTTATTAAATTTCTTATTTAACATACAGATTCATTAGAAAAAACCTTTTTTCTTTTATTTTAAATCTGTTACACCTAGGTTTTTGAATCCAAAATAAGAGCATCTCCATTAGAGTTTTTTAGCATAAAGTTGGCTCAAAAACCTAGGCATTTTCTATTTTTTAAAATATTTTAAATCCCAAAAGTGAAGGAGCATTCTTTATATAAGGAACAAGAAGACTATCTCTTAAACACGTAGTAGATGGTTATTGGCCATTTATTTATTTTTATTTTTTCAATTTTGTTGAATTATTTTTAGAGGAAAAATCAATTATTAAACTATTTTTAAAAAATTCATGAAAAAATAACACTAATGGAGATGCTCTAACATATCCTAATGAACATGGTCTTAATATTTGGACTTCTTACTATGTAGTTTTGATAAGGATTTCGACATTTCATATTCCCTTCCCTCTATTGATCATTTTGTCGTTTTGTATTAAAGAAGTAACACTGCGAAATTACGGTTGACCAAGTGTAAGGATTTGCAGATCATCCTTATGCCATGATAGTATCATGCCAAGACAGCGCTATTCAGTAGGAAAAGGAGATCTTCTTATGCCATGATAATCCATGGTGTCATGGAGAATTACGAATAAACCAAAAGCCAAATAATTTTTTCAGGAGAAATCCTAGATTAACAATTTCAAATCTAGGGAAGACAAATACAAATTCGAGCCGCCCTACTATTAGTTTCCCCCACACAGCCACACTAGTCAATCATCGATACAAAATCAGTTCATAAACACTACCAAAATCAGATGATACCCAAAATCAAAGAAATAAAACAAAATAGGACAAGAAAAAATGTTGTACATATTAGTTTTCTGAGCTTCACATACAAATAAATTGTTGCGTGAAATTTTTTAAGACGATGTTGATCCTTATGTGTCAAGCTACTTAGGATTGATCTGACGGATCCTTAATGGTGTCTATCAGAATGTAGATTTAAACACAAAAAAAAAATTAGAAATCAGATTCAAATTAATCAGAAGTTCAAGTTGTTTTCGCACCGGTTACAAATTCGGATCTGAAATAAACATAATTTCATAGTTTAGGCTGGAATTGGCCAAATTTCCTGAACCGATCAAATTGACTTTTTCACGTGATAAATCAAGCGTGACCGTAAAGTCCGTGCCAAACCGTGTTTGTGGGCCCAAATGCATATAGGTCTCGTGTTTGGTGAGCGGCCCAACGAAAAAAAAGAAAGCAAATCACGGCGAGGAAACAATAAACGCCTAACGAGAAGAAATCTACTGTACCGGCGAGGATATGACCGGGAAATCTTCTTCGACGGCGGCGACGATATCGAAGACGCCGTTTGTGACGGGAGAGAGAGTGGTAGTAGCAGTCGTGGTTTCTCGTGTCCTCTTCTCTCTCCCTCTATCTCTTATCTCCCATGGCTTCTCCCTCTTCCTCCTCTGCCTCTCCGCCTTCCTCGTCGAGATCCGCGCCGAGAGCTCTCCGTTTCTTCTCTCTCGTTTCAGCCCCAGGTGATTCCTCCTTCTTTGTCTCCTCTTGCGACCTCTGGGTATTTCAAATTTCAAATTTTTGGGCCCCAAAAATCCACAAAACTTCGATTCTCCAGAGATGATATCAGCTTACGGATTTGATTAGCTACGAATTTTCAAATTGAGTTATCTTTCCCTGCTTGGACCCAGATTAAATATCTTGTTGTTTCGCAAATTGCAGGCTTGGGGCATCTTCAGGGATATTGCTTGGAGCAGTAACACTTCCTGCTGTTATGATGTCTAAGTTGGTACAGCTTACAAGAGCTATCTCAGTCCATGAAGCTGAACAAGATGGTATATTTCCACAGCTCCTTTACCAAACCTACTCATATGTGTTGATGGCTTTGGCTCATGACTTGTCTTATGTTAGTATTTCAATCATGCTCATTGTTGAAATTCGATGTTCACAAACTTGCTTTGATCTCTGTTGTGTAGAGCTCGCGCACGTGACAATGCAGTACTGGGCAGCATCGGCAAGCTGCTGCGCCATACTAATATATCTCTCGGTGATTATGTCACAGTCGAAGAAAGCTGAATCTTCGTCGTCCTCATCCGTTTGGCTTACAAGGGTTAGCTTGACTGGCACAGTTTTGTATGGAGCAGCATGCTTTGTTTCACTTTCCATGATATCACACACTGGTAAGTAAGATCCATTTTCGGGTTCTCTAGTTTTTCTTCTTTCTTTTGCTTAGTTTTCACTGGTGAACTCTGTTTGTTCTTGCCTCGACAGGCTTGAACACGTCATTAAAAGTGTTGTGGATGTTATTTCACGGCATTGCTGCTGTGAAGTTGATTCGACATTTGCTTTGCACCTTCCCTTCTTGCGCCTCAATTGGTAATTGCAATGGCTATTTCTATTCATGTCTTGGGTTAAGTAGTAGTTTTGTTTATATGCTTTCAGTTGTAGAGATCGTAGCGCCACGATTGCAATAATGAATTGTTTTTCTCTCAAGGGAACTTGGATTTGCTTTTAATAAAGTGTCTTTTTATAGGGGAAGCGCTTCTGGTGACCAGTGGTCTTGTTCTCTATTTTGGCGACTTTCTGGCATGCACAATTGCGAAGGTTGGAGTTCTTTTGTTTAACCTTCTTTGATTAGATCATGCGTTTTTTTGGCTGTGATTGCATGCTCACAAGTCATAAGAATGACGTGTAATTTTTTCATTGTTACTTTGGTATGACAACTCTTACAGATTTTCGAGAAATTGATACCTGTGGATCTTGTCTCAATAAGCTATGGAATAAGGAGAACTGAAACCGGCATAATTGTACAGGTATGATAATAATAACTCGAAATGAAATGGATAACCTTTACTGCATTGCTGAATAACAATTTACCTGTCTCTTTCTCAGGGTCTACTATTGGGCCTTCTACTTTTCCCGATGGTGTTTAGATTTGTTTTGCATATATATGAAAGCTCGTTACAAAAGAGAGACGGTCGACAAAGAAACTGCAGCGATGCTGCAAAATCCGTCTTATTCTTTGTTTCACTTCTGTCTTTTATGGCCGTGGCTGTTCCTTTTTGGATGCAGTTTGTACACGATTTCCACCAGCATCCCATCTTATGGTACTTGATCTCTACTATCAGTTACTTATCTTGTGTTCTTTCTACACTAATTTCCACATGCTAAGATTGTGTCCTTTATATCGCAGGGTGCTCACATTTGTCTTTTCTGAACCTCTGAAGAGACTTTCATTATGTATCTACTGGGTTCTGTTGATCGTTGTGTCTGTCTCACGATTCTATAACATCTCGAGGAGTAGCAAGGTCGAGAGAATCTTGCTCCGGAAGTATTACCATTTGATGGCTGTTTTAATGTTCTTGCCGGCTCTTGTCTTACAGGTGACTGGTGATCAATAATTTCTAGTTCTACTTTTCCTAAATATGAAAGTGTTAGTCTAGCTTCTTATTATTTCCATGTCCTTTCATTCAGCCTAAATTTCTCGATCTAGCATTTGGTGCAGCATTGGCCGTTTTCCTTGCATTGGAGATCATTCGAGTAAGCTTCTTTCTATGTCACATAACTTCCCTTTATTGGTTTCATCACTTTCAATGGGCTTATGTGCAAGATACTCATTTTCCAAACCAGATATGGAGAATCCAGCCTCTGGGAGAGCCTTTACATCAATTCATGAATGCTTTCACAGACCATCGTGACTCAGAGCTTCTGATTGTCAGGTATGCCAAAACTGTTCTGACCATGGATGAGAAAACTCAGCTTAGAATCATCACTGATTTATATATGTCCTGTTTGTAGCCACTTCTCACTCTTGCTTGGGTGTGCCCTTCCAATCTGGATGTCTTCCGGGTTCAATGACCGAGCTTTATCCCCATTTGCCGGAATTCTCAGCCTCGGGATCGGAGATACAATGGTAAGCAGGAGATGCTAACTTTGAAAACCTCAAGTCTCTTCCAATGTAAAGTTATAACGATTTGCTTGACAGGCATCAATGGTTGGTCATAAGTATGGGGTACTGAGATGGAGCAAGACAGGAAGTGAGCATTTTTGCCTCTTCTCTCTTTTAAAGAAAATCTCAAACTATTGTTTTCTCATTGGAAACTAATACTGTCAAGTGTTGGAACAGAGAAAACGGTAGAAGGAACAGCAGCGGGAATAACATCGGTAATGGCCGTGTGCTTTGTGCTGGTTCCAGTATTAGCATCAATGGGTTATATACTAAGCCAAGGATGGTGGTCGCTTCTTGTTGCGGTTACAGCCACGGGGATGTTGGAAGCTTACACGGCGCAGTTAGACAACGCCTTTATACCTCTTGTCTTCTACTCTCTCCTCTGCTTGTAGTAAGCTAAAACCTTTTAGTTGTTCTCTGTTAACTTAGTGTACATAACACAGTATCTTACTACTAACCACACCTCCTCTTGAGCTTTCACATATGAGGCAAATAAATTATTGTCCTTTTGGCCGAATGAGAGATTATCTATATCATATGTGCTCAGGATTTTCCATGGCCGTACAATCTAAACAGACCATAAGATCCTCAAAAGTGAATCAACAATTGCACAATATTTTGACTGTCATATCTGATAAATAGTGAAATAGCAGAATGATGAATGATCTTAACAACGAAAACAGTTGAGTTGAATTGCAGAATAATCACAATTTGCTTGATACTGGTTTTATTATACGGAAAAATGACCAAAAATGCAAGACCAACTTTAATCTAAAAAAACCTGCAAAATTAACCTTTAAAGTGACAAAAAAAAATGCAAGATCAATCTCGAGCTAAACAAAATGCATAACAAACTACCAACTGCCCAAAAATGCAATAGCAACCTTAATTTTAAAAGGTTGCATTACTTAAAACCACCAAAAAAACACATCAAACAAATTTTTTCAAGAAGACCTAAAACCTTTGAAATTTCAATCCTATGACCTTCAAAGTCATTTGTGAAACCTTATGTGTGTGTCCAAAACAGATGGAAGAAGTAAAACGCCTCTGGTTTGAATAACAAAAACGATACAATTTTGGCCTGATGTTGTCGTTTTTAGCTAGCCAAAACAGTATAGATTTCGAAGACCCATGAAATTAGGTTATCTCATTTTTAGGGAAAATCGTATTAGATAAACAAACACAAATTAAGGTTTTTGGCAAATTTGGGGGAAATCGTCAAATCGATTTGGGAGAAATAGAGTTTGGAGAATGTTGTTGGAGACGCATTTACTAGAATGTGTTGGAGACAAATGAAGTTGTGGATGGTGAAACAGTTTATATCACTACACTACCGAAACATAAACAAATGATGTTTAAGACTTGAATAAAGCTGAAAAAAATATTAGCCATTAACATACACATTTATTAGAAAAAAAAATCAGAAATAAATAAAGTTGTTTGTAACCTAAAAGACATATTACCCAATAAATCTATAAATATCACTGCACTACAACCCATCAATGGGAAATCCAGTACTATATAAGATATCTTTAAATCCAATATCTAAACATACTCATATTCCTCTCCCCAAAAGCAAAAACACGGTAGGATCCGTTTCCTCCTCACTATCCTCTTTTGGATCCGTTTCCTCCTCACTTAGCCAACCACACTGAAGATGCTCGATACCTAAGAAATGATTTTGACCAAAAGCTTTCTTACTCGGAGAAATAAAAGATGCGAAGATCTAACCTCAAGAATCATGCGATGGCGGATACACTACCTATATTCGTCATATCTCTTGCAGAAACAAATTTGCACAAATGATTCCCCAAATTTTTATAAAAATTTTGGTGCATTACAGATAAAGTTAGCGGGAATTTTTCCATTACACTACATAAACACAAATACAAACATTAAATCAACAAATTCACATTTCACGAATCAAAAATAAAAGACGAAGAGACAGAATTGGAAAGAAAGAAACTATATCAGGCGTTGTTGTTAACTAAGTCTTAAACTTATCAACTTCACAACAAAAACAGTAAAATGTAATCAAGCTTAAACAAAATAAAAGAGAGCGTAGATACACAACTAAAAATCAGAGATTAAATGATAGAGAACATGTTAGAACACGTTAGGTCTCGGAAAATTTCATAGAAATTATGCAATGATAAGATAGATGATTTGTTAGAGATTTAAGTAAAAACTATTTTGAATACAAAAATACGAATTTATAGTCTTCCCACTTTCATGGTTCTGACCAATATGTTTTAAAAACCAATAGACTCAGCTTTTGTTGATTATTGTAAAATGAAAATATGCATTAAATCGACTAAATTAGGATAAAGTTCACTAAACTCTTTAACTCGACTTTTGGAAAGTTAAGACATTTAGCTCATCAAATACTAGTTCTGGCAATTTAACAAGCTTTTGGAGAGTAAATTAACCTTATATCAGATTACTAAAGGCACAGGAAAATAATCATGCATTGAGAACAAATAAAGATGAATAACCATATGAATATCACTTTTAAATAATCATCATATCAATATCCAATCATGCACACAAGGATCCCTTTAACCTATCAAATGAACTACTCACTCATGATGCATAAACACAACAAGTATGAATGAAAATCATGATAGGAATACTTATATTAAAAGAGTAAAGATGAGAAAAATTCTCTATATTGAAGAACAAAATTGAGATTTTCACCTTGAAGCTCTTAGAATCAATGAAAAACTTGTAAAAACAATGAAACAGAAGGCTACTACCGTTTAGTTTTTTATTCTAGGGTGGTTCTTTTTTATTTTTCTGAGGATAAAAACAAGTAAACATAGCCCTAAAAGTCATCTAGGGTTTCATTAAACCCAAAAAGGAAGTTTTAAGCCAGGCCTGGCCCCATTTGGACATATCTTCAGTAAAATTGATTTATATTTGTGACCATCTAACCAAATGACTTCAAACTGGTTCCATATGAAATATGACTCAAAAATATAGCCTACTACCAAATTTTATCTCGATCCACCAATGGGAAGGCATCCAACGAACATGAAAATTCTGATGCTGAATTGCAGTCCTATTGCAAAAATCTATTTTTCCTGGCTTCTTAGACTTGACGAATCTTTTGGACTAATCTGCTCCTTTTTAGCTTTAATTTGTATTTTTTTTATTTATGATTTCACCTATAAAGACTTTAAAACTACTAAGATACACAAAACCAAATAAAAATGCTTGAATCAAATACTAAAATACTTATTAAAGCAGTAAAATACAGGTTATTCATTAAAAGGTTAAAGAAATTGTTCAAATCCAGAATATACAAGCACAAACAGCTTCCACCGCAAAGGGAGTACATGATTACCATCCATATAAGGGAATGTTCACTACAACAAAACATTTTTATTCCATCGAAATTTTACGAAAATTACGACGTCTTAATAAATCGACGTAAATTCGATGTAAAAAGGAGTTGTCGTAATTTCAACATAAATTTACATCAACATTACGACGATTTGATGACCAAAATATATTCGTCGTAATATCGAAGTAAAATTTACATCGATTTTACGATGAATCTTATTTTCGTCATGGTTCCATGTAATAATGATGTAAATTGTTTTTCAATGCAAATTCGATAGAAAATTTCAATGCAAAATTGTTGCTATACATACCAAATTTCTTTAAATACCTCATCATTTCTATCATAATCTACCAAAAAAAAAAAAAAACCTTATAAGGACACAATTGTGTTGAGTATTTGAGTTTTTGAGTATAATTTTATAAACTTTATTATAATAAAATAACAAAATTTTAAATAAAATTAAAATTTTCTAAAAATATCTATATATGATCTACGAAAGTGGATGTATATGCGTAAAAATGTGGAAGGGGGTTTGACGGAAGAGTACAAGAACGGGCTAGAAATGTTTATGAATCAGGCCGACAATATGAAATAACCATAGAAAGTGGAAAGATGTTTTGTCCTTGTTTGAAATGCAAAAATATATCGAAACAGTGTGGAAGCATTACTAAATAAAGGGTTTGTGCCGCAATACTTTTTTGGTATCAACATGGAGAAGGTTATGGTGATAGTATTTGGTGGCCAGCTGGTAGGAATACGAGTGGTAGTAATATTCAGGATGAAGGCGTTGGGGATAATAATTTTAATGCATCAAACTATTATCAAAGTAGTCATGATCAAGGTCAAGATCATGATATGATGCATGACATGGTTATAGATGCATTTCAGGATGAGACACATGATGATATAGTTGAGGAACCCAAAGCAGATGCCAAACGCTTTTATGATATGTTAAATACTGCAAAACAGCCACTATACGATGGATGTAGAGAAGACTGTCTAAATTGTCATTAGCAGCTAGGATGATGACCATTAAGACTGAACATAATCTATCTGAAGTTTCCATGAACGATTGGGCTGATCTTATCAAAGAGTATTTGCCAGAAGATAATTTGGCTGCCGAATCATACTACGAGATACAGAAGTTGGTTTATATTCTTGGGTTGCCTTCTAAGATGATAGATGTATGTGTTGATAATTGTATGCTCTTCTGGAGAGATGATGATAAGCTGCAGGAATGTCGTTATTGCCAAAAGCCAAGATACAAGCCACAAACTTCTGGGCAGAATAAGATACCGTACGAACGGATGTGGTATCTTCCTATAACTGATAGGTTAAAAAGACTTTTATTAATCTGAGAAGACAGCTGCATTGATGAGATGGCATGTAGAGCATTTACAAACAGATGGGAAAATGACTCACCCGTCCATTGGGAAATCGTGGAAACACTTTAATGCCATACATCCAGACTTTGCTAATTCTACACGGAATGTATATTTGGGTCTTTGCACTGACGGGTTTAGTCCATTCGGTATGTCCGGTAGACAATATTATTTACGCCTTATAACCTTCCCCCAGATATGTGCATGCAAAGGGAATTTTTGTTTCTCAGTATCTTAGTCCCTGGTCCAAATCACCCGAAGCGGGCTCTTGATGTGTTTTTGCAGCCACTCATACATGAGTTGAACCAACTGTGGTATAATGGAGTTAGAACGTATGATAGTTCGAGAGGCCAAAATTTTATGATGCGAGCTGTGCTTATGTGGACAATAAGCGACTTCCCTGCTTATGGAATGTTATCTGGTTGGACTACGCACGAGAGATTATCATGTCCTTATTGTCTTGATATGTCTGATGCATTTCAACTTAAGCATGGTAGGAAATCTTGTTGGTTTGACTGTCATCGCTGATTTCTACCATCCAACCATCCATATTGAAGAAACAAGCGTCTGTTTAAGAAGAACAAAACTGTTTGTCTTCCTCCACCAGTGTATCTAACAGGAGAGCAACTTGAAGCGCAAATAGACCATTGGAAAGGTTTAGAAAGGGCTCCCCGGGGGGGGGGGGGGGGAAACTGGCACAGTCAAGCAAATATGGCTGTTAGATATGGGGTTCATCATACTTGGCACAAGCAAAGCATATTTTGGGAACTTCCGTA